TTGGGTAATCCGAAGACGAAATCCATTGAGATGGATTCCCAGCACTCAGCCGGAACCGGTAGAGGCTGTAAAGGTGCACGCAGTGAAGGACTTGACTTCACTCGTTGACAGACTTCGCATGCGCGAACATACTTTCGCACAAACTGATACTGGCGGGGCCAGTAAAAGTCTCGACTCACCGTGAGATATGTTTTCTCCCGGCCACGATGTCCTCCTATAGGAGCATCGTGATACTCGAACATGATCCGCAAACGCAGATCAGTATCATCTGGAATGACAACACGTGGTGTGTCACCAGAAACGGCTGTATAATACAGTAAACCGTTACGAGTAGTGTATCGATCTGATGCAGATCGATACGCAGGCGACAATCGTTTCAACGATTCTCGAGATGGTTGGGAGAGATGTGTCAACAACTTCACAATCTCAGCATCTTGGGCGTATGCCCGCCTCACATCATCATACAACGTTGTAGATGGGACTGAGGACGTCATAACTGCAACAGTGACTGTCTCACTGTTGGGTTTCGCGACTGTTTCAAAGTCGGGACGACGTGAGAGTGCATCAGCGACGACATTAAGTCGTCCTGGTTTGTACTCGACCGTAAAGTTGTATTCCGCAAAGAATGACAACCACCGCGCCATGCGTTGTGAAAGATGCGGGCTGTTCACTGCCGTGCGTAATGACGCATGGTCAGTGTAAACAATGAAGGGTCTATCTCCTAATAGATAGACTCTGAACTTCGCGAGTGCATACTTCATGGCAAGGAGTTCCTTTTCATGCACTGGATAGTTCCGCTCAGCTGGTTGCAGCCGACGCGACTGATAGCAGACGACGTGTTCAACGCCTCCTAGGTCGTACTGCATTAATGCACAGCCGATTGCGAAATCGCTGGCATCACAGACCACATGAAATGGCCTGTCCTGATCGGCAATTGCTAGGACTGGGGATTGTATCAAGCTCTGCTTGATACCATCAAAGGAGCGTTGACATTCAGCGTTCCATAACCACCTCTCGTTCTTTTTCAACAAACGAGAGAGGTGCACAGTCATCTCGGCGTAATTGCGTGAATACTTATGCAAATACGCCGCTAGCCCAAGGAATTTTCGAAGACCTTTGACATCAACCGGCACAGGCCAGTCGGTGATCGCCTTGATCTTTTCGGGATCAGGACGTACACCGTTCTTACCAACGATGCACCCAAGAAGTGGTATTTCGCTTGCTGCAAATATACACTTCTTGAGGTTAGCATACAATTGATGCTTTCGCATGATTGTAAGAACTTGTCGGACGTGGTACCTGTGGACCTCAACGTCCGACTTTCCATCCATAGCTCGACTATGGATGAATACGTCATCGAAATAACTAGGCGCGAATTCTCGTACTGGTCTCAACAGATGTGATACACATCTGTTGAACGTGGCAGGGGCATTACTAAGCCCTTGTGGCATTACTAGCCATTCCCAGAGCATGCCGCTAGGCGTGCTAACTGCGGTATAGGGTATATCCCGTTATCGCATAAGGATTTGATAGAAGCCATCCATCAAATCCATGGACGAAAAGATGGTACTCTTTGACATACCATCAATGATTACGTCCTTCCTCGGTATCGGCGTCTGAGCCGGTACCGTTGCAGCATTCAACTTGTTAAATGCATGCACTATCCGCCACCCTCCTGTTGCTTTTCGCACGCAGAAGGTCGGAGAGCTATGTGGGGAAGTTGATTCCCTCACATGGCCCGAAGCTAAACGATCGGCAAAGAACTTGTCGATCGCAAGTACTTGTTCACGAGGCAGTGGCCACTGCTTCATGACACAGTACTTCGAGCGTGGTTTAAGCTCGACCTCGTGTCGAGTACCTTTATCCTTCAGTAATTCGCACGGAACAGTTTCAGGGAATACATCCTTGAATTCAACCAAATCTTCATAGAGAGGATTTGTCTTGAGCGATTCCCATGATTAGGAGTCATGTCGCTCAACTCGTGTCTTTTCATCGAGGTCGCTCTCGTCCATCGATGAACTACTGAGAACTCTCTCGTTCTCAGTAAACACTGTTGCTGACCTTATGTCGGTTACAGACTCGTCGTCAGCGACGAGTACGCAGATCCGCTTGACTTTGCCACTACGCAGATCACGCAAGAACCTTTTATGTTCGAGTGTTGGCAACTGAGTGATCTCCGAAGTCAACTTCGGAGGCGCATTCAGATCAAGTGTATAAGCGCCTATACTTGATCCGTTATTGACTATGACATTCAATGTATCTGTCATTTCCTGGGGACTTATTCCCTCAGGCTTCGAAGGACTTATTCCTTCGGCTTCCCGGGGACTTATTCCCGCGGGTTTCGGGGAACTTATTTCCGCCGTATTTGTAATCTTGGAACTTATTCCCTTTACTTCCTCTAGCTAGGGTTGCGCAACCACAGCGAGATCCTCTACGAAAGACTCTCCAGTCGATCTAGGATTATCGTTTCGCTTAACCTGAGTGATCGATTGTTTCTCTTCTAGATGTTCCCCGCTAGGGATACATCTTTGTCCCAGTCCACCCGACTTATTTGAGTGGTGGACCTTCGGCGCAGCCTGTGTTTCCTCACAGCCGCCGGAACTTTGCTCCGAAGTGTAACCGCTTGGTACACTAAGGTTTTGTGCAGTCGTACTAACGACCGTACCACAAGTGAGGCCATCGCACTCACTCGTAGTACATCGACACGCTTGTGGACGCTCCAAAACGTTCATCAGATGGCCATCTGATGAACAAGCGGCAGGCATCGTTACTGTTCGATGTTGCCAGTTTACCCGTGGTTCGTACCTTCTGAGCCACGGTATTCCAAGGATGACATCAAATTTGTCATCCAATTCCAATACGATAAAGTCATCGTCATATTGGGTATCTTCTAGCGTACAGTGGATCTTCACTATACGCTTCATGACGGTTACGGATGCGCCTGTCGCAAGACGTACCGTCATCCTCGTAGGAGGTGTGTCACATTCACTGAATTTAGAGTGACCATCTTCTAGCGATTGGCGTTGCACAAAATTGTTGGACGCCCCACAATCGACTAGAGCTCGAAGGGACAACTTTTTCGTCACTTCGAGTTTCAAGGTAATGAGTGATACCTCATTACCTAGAGCAGCAACGCACAATGTTTGTGTGTTGGGAGCAACCTTCATCAAGAGGCCTACAAATTCTCTTGACGTTGCTGGATCAGTAGGGTGCTCCGCACCTACTGATCCTGTCCGTTTTTTGACGGTCCATCCCGTTGTTGCGTCTTTGCACCAACAGCGGACCCTCGTCCCTGCCCCTTTCTCATGGGTGGACGGTCACTACGCCCAGTGTCACGAGACACTGGACGAGGGGCACTACACTCGTAAGCGTAGTGTCCTGTCTTTTGACATCTGTTGCATCTCTGCAACTTCTTGTAGCCTGTAGAGCGAGCCTTCTCGCTCTCTACATAACAGAGTTCCATTGGCTCTGGACCTCCGCTGTCATATCGTCTCGGTTGACGATACGATGTCGATCTGGCGCGAGCCTGTCTCAGACTGAAGTCTTCCTGCTCCGCAATGGAAATGGCTTGTTCTAGTGAATCTAGTTCAAGCCGGAACAGGTGAGTCTTGATGGGACCATCCGCAAGACCCTGCATGAACACCGAAACCAACGTGTGTTCATCTACCGGATTGGAACTTATACAACTCGTGAGATGTCGTATATGTTGAGCGTAAGCGTGCACATCACGCTTACCCTGCTTGAGCTTCAAGAGTTCGGTTCGAGCTCTGAACTCAGCTCTAGGCGGTTAAAACGTTTGTCTGAGCCGCGACTTGAAGACTTCTAACGACCCAAACGCATATGGGTCGTGCAACTTGAGCCCTAGTGCCCAAGTCTTGGCACGTCCTGCCAGATTTGACTGGGCGAATGCAACTTGCATATCCCCGTCGTCGATGCGACGCGCTTTTATGGCGTCATCCAATTCGACGAACCATCTCAAGAGGGAGTCCTCTTCGACTCCTCTATACTTGGAGATGTCAATCTTCAAGGTTTCGGGTCGACGCGAGTGCATCGACCCGCCAGCAGCAGCCTGCTGCTGTCTCAACAGTCCAAACTGTTGAGCACCCTGTTCTCTCAACAATTCTGCTTGTTGAGAACCTTGTTGGCGAAGCAAGTCTACTTTCTCGCGTTCAGCGTCAAGTTCATTTTGAATGAACTTGGCGATAGTAGCATGTTGGGCATCTCTGTTGAGAGCTTCTAGCATGACGCTAACAGCATGGATGCCCATGGTTGAACCCATTCGTTCAACCGCATCCCATTCGACATCGCTCAAATGGGAGTAGCCGTCACGCGTAGCGTGGAAGCTTTGGTCATCTTCATCATCCAACATATTCATGTTGGATGTAAACGCGGTCCTTGGACGGACTACGAAGTGCTACAAGGTGTAACGGGGCACCCTGAAGCTTGTACTGGTGACAGTACAAGCTACTTATTCTGATGACAGAATAAGGCGGTGCCTCGTAACTTCACGTACACTCGTACGTGCAGAGGAAGACGGTAAGAAGAAGCGAGTACTTGGTTAAAGTAAAAAGTAGAACTGTATTTATAATAGTTAATGTCTGCAATAAATCACTATTTATCTTCATCTAACTATGTCTAAATACAAATGTGCATATCAACTATCTGCTCACCACTCATTGCGTGCGTCTGTCGTGGCGCGTCTTCGTTGTTTGATATAATGGCCTATATCAATCATTTAGGAACTACTCGTAACTGCTACAGAATATTTGTCCTTATGACAATATTCTGAGAATATAACTCTTATAGTTATATTCTATTAACAATTTCTTATAAATTGTTATGTAACGATTCACCCCGTCACATCACCCCCTCCCTTAACCATCAGTCACTTTAGTGACTGATTGACTAAAAGGATACTCGTCCCAAATCGTTGAGGACGGGGTTTGCACTTGTTGGTCCGCGTCCACTTTCCAACATCTCATCGCATGGTTAACAAGCCCATGCGATGCGCGAGCAAGGCCGCCGAGAGCGCGTCCGCACGTTTCTGTGCGGACGCCGAAGCAGAAACCACAGCAACTGATGTGTCATCGGTTGCTGAAGCGACTCAGCCTGTGTCACTTGGTGATGCAGGCGCTGGTCATGAAGACACTCATGTCTTCACAGAGTATGAGCTCGGTGTCTCATACTCTCCTGATACGGAAGACGGATCCGTATCGACGGCGATCGAATCCAAGCCGCCTGCCAAGCGTGGCATGGATGATGCTATGCGTCGTAGCATCTTTGGCTCATCTGATGAATCAGATGAACCATCGCCAAAGCGAAGGCGCTCGAGGTCCCAAGACTCAGGCGCTCATAGTGGTGTCGGTTCTCCTATTGACTCCACTTCGCAACGAGGTGCCAGTCCTTCTGTCGGCACATCGCAGGAAGAGCGGGACCGCAATGTCTTGCGTCTCGCTCCACTAGAAGAAGGCATGGATGCCTCCCAAATCTGTCATGGATCACTTGTCGGCGACGACGAGTGATCGTTATCGAACACGGTTGTTCGATTTGTCAAGGATCCATCACCTTGACCCCAGCGCGAAAAACTATCGCGCTGAGAATGAGTTCTTCATCGATGCTTTCTTTAGACATCGATGGTACAGTGGGAATCACAAGCGTGATGGTCCCTCACTACTTCAAGCGTGGAACGCCTACATCCATAACCTTGAGGATGTAGGTCGTGACGTTTGGAACGACAAACTTATCAAAGCTCGTGATAAGTTTGAAAAGCGAACCCCGACAGGTGCACGCTACAAGCTGCATCGTCTGTCAAGGGAGAAAGGATTACCCTGCCTCTCTTGGGGAGACTCGTGCCCATGTTGTGTGAGCAACTCTGCACGAGCACCTAAGGAGGCTTACCTCCCTACTAGCTCGTGGTGGCACTTACGTATCTCTACTGAGATGTACGAAGGGATTGACAACTTGAAATCCCTTTACGACCGTGCCGGGAATACTTTCTCCGGCGGTCCTTCTGCGACACAGGATGTGCCGCGTCGTACTGCTCAACCAGACCCAGTACGTCGATCATCAGTTGGGAGCGGGGCTCCCAAGAATCCCAGGACGGGGGATAGCCGCGCCACCGGACGAGATAACTCGTCGGACGTCCGTTCACGTCGCGGTGGTTCAACAGCTGCTCAACTAGATAGCGCTGGCCACCGCGAGAGTCCTCTAATGGAGGTGGAGGAGAAGTAAAGACGCTGTCCACACGATAGTGGGGATCCGTGTGTTCCCGGGAGCTTCTTTGATCGCGTAACGCAAGGGTTACGCGGCGATCTCGAACACGAACGGGACAGGCGTCTCCAAATGGCGGACACTGTCTTGAAGCATCGAGCTGAGTTTGCCTTTGCTCAGCTTAAGAACGAGAGAGCTCTGACATCTCTTCGTGACGAGCTAAGGGTAGCTCGTGGGTTTGTTGATCGGTCTCGGGATGAGATAGCTGCTCTCCAGACCCTTGTCGATGCCCATCATCGGGAGCACAAGGCTCTCTGTGAGATGCTTGAACGCAAGGGCGTTCTTCATCGGAAGAAGCAGCGTAATGATGGTACGGCTTAAGCCGACCAACGTAAAACGTGGGATGCGTTCGCATCTTACGTGGCAACTCGATCGTGTATGCATTGCCTAGGCGGTGCAATACACGAAATGGGCCGATGTACTTGGGTAGTAGTTTACTGCTACCCAAGTTAGTCATTACATGCTTTGGCAGATTAACCGTAGACAGTAGTACTAAGTCACCTTTATTAAATAAAAGAGTGTTTGCCCTTCCATTCTTGTCAGCGTTTTGCTTTTGCTTATCCACCGCTTCGGCGATGGAGTCTTGCACAAAACGGACTACCGTTTCACGAGCCAGTATGAACTCGTATGATGACTCGTTAGCTTCAGTGCGCTGTGAGCGCACTGCAGCAACATCAATCTTTTCTTCAGTGAGGGCTTCCTCGCTCTCACTGGCATCATCTTCTTTGATATCGATGTTATCGATATCGGCATCAAACGCAATGACCTCTTCGTCAGAGCGTGATGAGCGTGAACCAAATCGGTTTTTGCTCGCGCGAGTCCCTCCCCCCCTTAAACCAGAGTTGCACTCTAGTAAGGTGGGTACACGTGGATGGCGCAAGCCATTCACGTAAAATGGTGTATGTGTCATGGACGCATGCACCGAGTTGTTGATGGCAAACTCTACCATTGGCAAAAACTCACTCCAACTCTTAAAGGAGTGTACGTATCCTCGAAGTATCTCTTCAAGGACACGATTGGCACGTTCCGTCTGACCATCTGAATCTGGATGATCAGATGTCGACATCTTCAAGCGCGTTCCGAGTGATTTGAACGCGTAACGCCAGAAATCAGCAGTGAAGCGCGGATCTCTGTCTGATACGAGTTCACGGGGCAACCCATGAAGTCGGAAGATGGTGTAAATAAAGACACAAGCACAGCCACTTGCCTTGATTGACTCTGTTACAGCCACGAGGTGTACCATTTTGCTGAATCTGTCAACAAATACGAGAATACCCGTATTCCCGCGTGCGTCTTTGGGTAACCCGAAGACGAAATCCATTGAGATGGATTCCCAGCACTCGGCCGGAACTGGTAGAGGCTGTAAAGGTGCACGCAGTGAAGGACTTGACTTCACTCGTTGACAGACTTCGCATGCGCGAACATACTTTCGCACAAACTGATACTGGCGGGGCCAGTAAAAGTCTCGACTCACCGTGAGATATGTTTTCTCCCGGCCACGATGTCCTCCTATAGGAGCATCGTGATACTCGAACATGATCCGCAAACGCAGATCAGTATCATCTGGAATGACAACACGTGGTGTGTCACCAGAAACGGCTGTATAATACAGTAAACCGTTACGAGTAGTGTATCGATCTGATGCAGATCGATACGCAGACGACAATCGTTTAAAGTCTCGACTCACCGTGAGATTTGTTTTCTCCCGGCCACGATGTCCTCCTATTGGAGCATCGTGATACTCGAACATGATCCGCAAACGCAGATCAGTATCATCTGGAATGACAACACGTGGTGTGTCACCAGAAACGGCTGTATAATACAGTAAACCGTTACGAGTAGTGTCAACAACTTCACAATCTCACCATCTTGGGCGTATGCCCGCCTCACATCATCATACAACGTTGTAGATGGGACTGAGGACGTCATAACCGCAACAGTGACTGTCTCATTGTTGGGTTTCACGACTGGTTCAAAGTCGGGACGACGTGAGAGTTTGCCTGTCGAAAATCCAGCCTCCAGCGAAACCACAAACGCAACTCAATCGTAGTCGTAGTCGTCGTCGTAGTTGTTGTGGAATCGCCACTGAACGTTGTTGGCTCCGCGTCCACGAGCATTGTTGCCGGCGCGTAGAGCTCCTCCTATGTTTTCGTCCTCCTTCTTGGTCCAGCACCGCTCCGCCTTGTGCCCCAATTTGCCGCAGTACGTACACTGGCGAGGTTCACGCTCAGCACTGAACGCCTTCTCCGCGTCTCCAGTCTCCACCGATATCGTCTTGTCACCTTGTCTCTTGATGTGCTCATTTGTGAGCACATCACGACGTCTCGCGATTGCAGCGCTGCTCAACTACAAGTTCAACACGACATTCTCGTAGCGTTTAGGGAGGCTGCGCAACAAGCAGATCGCCACGTCCTCGTCCTCCATCTTAGCGCTGATGCTGCTTATCTTCGCGCTGATGTTGAGGACTTCATGGCAATGTGATGCATCACATTGCCGCCTTCTGCCACCTCCATGCTGAACAGCTGGCGCTTCAAGTAGATTCGCCCAGCCTTCTGCGACCCACCGTACAGTGTCTTCAAACGCGCCCACACGACCCACGCTTCCTCATCATCATTGACGATGTGATGGTAGTCGGCGTCCATGTGATACGACATCAGTACGAACACGATGTTATTTGTCTTGACGTAGGCGTCCATGGAGCGATCGTCCGCATAGGTCGGCGACGTCTTCCGGATCACCACGTACCACGTCGACTTAGTCAGGAACACGCCACACACGTAGCGGCTCCATGTCGCGTGGTTGTCTCCGTCGAACTTGTTGATGGAGATATTGGTAATGGCATCTTGGGCAGAGGACATCGTGCTTGGGCTCATAACCTGTTGAAAGGTGCGAAGATTGATGACCGAAACTGGGAAGGATGCTGAAAAGTCCACTCGGAAGACGAGAGAAGACACTTGGGCAGTAGATGGAAGACTGGAAAGTGATTGATTATCGGAGCTTATCTGCCTACGCCCTGATTTACATGCGTCCACATATAAGTCGGTCGGCGCGTCTAATCACCCTGCTATTCTAATCTTTTCTGCAAAATTACCGACGTAAAAACGATCCCATAAGAACTACACAGTTGTTGACGGTCATCGGTTTCCTACCAGTGTTGGTAACCGTGACCGGTCCAATCCGAACCGCCTCTTCAGCTTCGTATTTACGACGTAGTTCTTACGGTAATTACCATAGTTGATTAGACGCGTAGGATGACGATACGCTTCACATGATTTATATGTGCACCACAAATAAATCATGTAGTAAGTAGTAAGCCCCGATAATCAATCACTTTCGGATTCCCCTTCTGCCGAGCAAGTCTTCTCTGCTCCGCACCTCAAGCCTCTTCGCTCCCTCCGGTCTCTTCCGGTCTTCTCGTCACTTCCGTGCCATACCTTCAACACGTACAAATCCAGTAAAGTCCATCCACGAGATCCTCTGTCGCCATCACTTGCTGTGAGTTCTTGAGAGTCACATACATCTTGTACCCGTCAAACACGACTTGGAATTTGCCATGCCTGTTGATCTGTGGCACCGAAAGCACGTTTTTGCTCATACTTGAACATATAACGCGTTCTTGATATCGATCCTACGCTCTTCACCGTTGGGAAGAACCAACTTTTTCCAATATGGTTCCCACACCCTTGATGGCCTGCTTGCTGCCATCAGCCACCGATAGTTCGCCCTCATTGCGCCTGCTGACAAACTTAATCTTGTCGTGGCAAATGTGGTGCGTTGCACCAATCTCGGTACGCATTTGACGCTTCTTCGTAGCCCATGAACATCCGTACACGAGCCTTCGAGTCACACTTCAGTCGCTTCACCTTTAGTGTCAGGATGTACGCTTAACATCCAAACACACGCATGTGCTTGATACTTGGTTTCGACTTGTACACGATCTCGAACGGAGTCTTGTGGTCGATCTTGGGTAAAGGCAGGCGGTTCTTGATGTAGATCGCCTTCATTGCCGCTTCAGCCCAGAAACACCTCTCCAGATTTGCATGATGCAGCAAGCTGCGTCCGATCATGACGATGGTCCGTATTGCGCGTTCTGCAGTGCCGTTGGTCTGGTGTGCATACGGCACTGTGACCTGCTGCTCTATACCTTGATCTTCGTAGAAGATCTTGATCGAGTTGCTCGCGAACTCATGCGCTCCATTATGCCGAACCAACTTGATCTTCTTGCCGAACTGCGTCTGAATCTTGAGAATCTAGTTCTTGGTGCAGTCTTCACTATCAGACTTGGACCGCAGACAGAAGACCTTCATGCACCCTCTGGCATCGTCGCTCACAAGCAGCTAGTATCTGCTGCTGCTGATCGAGGCTTGTTATATTGGCCCGCAGATGTCGAATTGTAGCAATTCAAACACACCATAGTGACACTTGTCACGGTTGGTTGGGAATGGTTTTTGGACCATCTTCCCGTGCTGGCAACCGCGACACACACTTGGCTCAGTCGATGAGAGAGGTGCATTGGATTCCTTGATCATGCCGGTGGCCATCATCTTGCGCAGAGCATCGAGGGATGCATGACCCATGCGCGTGCGCAAGTCGATGGCCCCATTGTGTGTCGCTGCATCAGTCGATCGTTGAGGAGACCGCAGCCAGTAAATTCCGTCGACGGGATCCGCTGTCATCACAACTTGCTTGGAATTCTTGCGCGTTACTTGCATCTTGGACCCATCGAACACGACTTGGAACTTGCGACCCTTGTTGATCTACAGTACCGAAAGCAGATCCTTGCTCATACTTGGCACGAACAGTTCGTCCTTGATCTCGATGTCGCGCCCGTCACCACTGGGCAGAACCTCCCGTTCCATGATGGTTCCCACACCCTTGATCGCAGCCTTTGCTGCCATCAGCCACCGATAGTTTGCCTTCTTCTCGCTCATTCAGGCTTGTAAACTTGGCCTTGCCGTTTCAGATGCGATGCGTCGCACCGCTGTCGACCGCCCACATCCTTGGCATATTCTTGCCCATTGAAAATCCAGCCTCCAGCGAAACCACAAACGCAACTCAATCGTAGTCGTCGTCGTAGTTGTTGTGGAATCGCCACTGAACGTTGTTGGCTCCGCGTCTACGAGCATTGTTGCCGGCGCGTAGAGCTCCTCCTATGTTTTCGTCCTTCTTCTTGGTCCAGCACCGCTCCGCCTTGTGCCCCAATTTGCCGCAGTACGTACACTGGCGAGGTTCACGCTCAGCACTGAACGCCTTCTCCGCGTCTCCAGTCTCCACCGATATCGTCTTGTCACCTTGTCTCTTGATGCGCTCATTTGTGAGCACATCACGACGTCTCGCGATTGCAGCGCTGCTCAACTACAAGTTTAACACGACATTCTCGTAGCGTTTAGGGAGGCTGCGCAACAAGCAGATCGCCACGTCCTCGTCCTCCATCTTGGCTCCGATGCTGCTTATCTTCGCGCCGATGCTGAGGACTTCATGGCAATGTGATGCATCACATTGCCGCCTTCCGCCATCTCCATGCTGAACAGCTGGCGCTTCAAGTAGATTCGCCCAGCCTTCTGCGACCCACCGTACAGTGTCTTCAAACGCGCCCACACGACCCACGCTTCCTCACAATCATCGACGATGTGATGGTAGTCGGCGTCCATGTGATGCGACATCAGTACGAACACGATGTTATTTGTCTTGACGTAGACGTCCATGGAGCGATCGTCCGCATAGGTCGGCGACGTCTTCCGGATCACCACGTACCACGTCGACTTAGTCAGGAACACGCCACGCACGTAGCGGATCCATGTCGCGTGGTTGTCTCCGTCGAACTTGTTGATGGAGATATTGGTAATGGTATCTTGGGCAGAGGACATCGTGCTTGGGCTCATAACCTGTTGAAAGGTGCGAAGATTGATGACCGAAACTGGGAAGGATGCTGAAAAGTCCACTCGGAAGACGAGAGAAGACATTTGGGCAGTAGATGGGAGACTGGAAAGTGATTGATTATCGGAGCTTATCTGCCTAAGCCCTGATTTACATGCGTCCACATATAAGTCGGTCGGCGCGTCTAATCACCCTGCTATTCTAATCTTTTCTGCAAAATTACCGACGTAAAAACGATCCCATAAGAACTACACAGTTGTTGACGGTCATCGGTTTCCTACCAGTGTTGGTAACCGTGACCGGTACAATCCAAACCGCCTCTTCAGCTTCGTATTTACGACGTAGTTCTTACGGTAATTACCATAGTTGATTAGACGCGTAGGATGACGATACGCTTCACATGATTTATATGTGCACCACAAATAAATCATGTAGTAAGTAGTAAGCCCCGATGATCAATCACTTTCGGATTCTCCCTGATCTGCCGAGCAAGTCTTCTCTGCACCTCCTCAAGACTCTTCGCTCCCTCCGGTCTCTTCCGGTCTTCTCGTCACTTCCGTGCCATACCTTCAACACGTACAAATCCAGTAAAGTCCATCCACGAGATCCTCTGTCGCCATCACTTGCTGTGAGTTCTTGAGAGTCACATACATCTTGTACCCGTCAAACACGACTTGGAATTTGCCATGCCTGTTGATCTGTGGCACCGAAAGCACGTTTTTGCTCATACTTGGAACATGTAAAGCGTTCTTGATATCGATCCTACGCTCTTCACCGTTGGTAAGAACCAACTTTTTCCAATATGGTTCCCACACCCTTGATGGCCTGCTTGCTGCCATCAGCCACCGATAGTTCGCCCTCATTGCGCCTGCTGACAAACTTAATCTTGTCGTGGCAAATGTGGTGCGTTGCACCAATCTCGGTACGTATTTGACGCTTCTTCGTAGCCCATGAACATCCGTACACGAGCCTTCGAGTCACACTTCAGTCGCTTCACCTTTAGTGTCAGGATGTACGCTTAACATCCAAACACACGCATGTGCTTGATACTTGGTTTCGACTTGTACACGATCTCGAACGGAGTCTTGTGGTCGATCTTGGGTGAAGGCAGTCGGTTCTTGATGTAGATCGCCTTCATTGCCGCTTCAGCCCAGAGACACCTCTCCAGATTTGCATGATGCAGCAAGCTGCGTCCGATCGTGACGATGGTCCGTATTGCGCGTTCTGCAGTGCCGTTGGTCTGGTGTGCATACGGCAATGTGACCTGCTGCTCTATGCCTTGATCTTCGTAGAAGGTCTTGATCGAGTTGTTCGCGAACTTATGCGCTCCATCATGCCGAACGAACTTGATCTTCTTGCCGAACTGCGTCTGAATCTTGAGAATATAGTTCTTGGTGCAGTCTTCACTATCAGACTTGGACCGCAGACAGAAGACCTTCATTCACCCGCTGGCATCGTCGACCACAAGCAGCTAGTATCTGGTGCTGCTGATCAATACTTGTTACATTGGCCCGCAGATGTCGAATTGTAGCAATTCAAACACACCATAGTGACACTTGTCACGGTTGGTTGGGAATGGTTTTTGGACCATCTTCCCGTGCTGGCAACCACGACACACACTTGGCTCAGTCGATGAGAGAGGTGCATTGGATTCCTTGATCATGCCGGTGGCCATCATCTTGCGCAGAGCATCGAGGGATGCATGACCCATGCGCGTGCGAAAGTCGATGGCCCCATTGTGTGTCGCTGCATCAGTCGATCGTTGAGGAGACCGCAGCCAGTAAATTCCGTCGACGGGATCCGCTGTCATCACAACTTGCTTGGAATTCTTGCGCGTTACTTGCATCTTGGACCCATCGAACACGACTTGGAACTTGCGACCCTTGTTGATCTACAGTACCGAAAGCAGATCCTTGCTCATACTTGGCACGAACAGTTCGTCCTTGATCTCGATGTCGCGCCCGTCACCACTGGGCAGAACCTCCCGTTCCATGATGGTTCCCACACCCTTGATCGCAGCCTTTGCTGCCATCAGCCACCGATAGTTTGCCTTCTTCTCGCTCATTCAGGCTTGTAAACTTGGCCTTGCCGTTTCAGATGCGATGCGTCGCACCGCTGTCGACCGCCCACATCCTTGGCATATTCTTGCCCATTGAAAATCCAGCCTCCAGCGAAACCACAAACGCAACTCAATCGTAGTCGTCGTCGTAGTTGTTGTGGAATCGCCACTGAACGTTGTTGGCTCCGCGTCCACGAGCATTGTTGCCGGCGCGTAGAGCTCCTCCTATGTTTTCGTCCTTCTTCTTGGTCCAGCACCGCTCCGCCGTGTGCCCCAATTTGCCGCAGTACGTACACTGGCGAGGTTCACGCTCAGCACTGAACGCCTTCTCCGCGTCTCCAGTCTCCACCGATATCGTCTTGTCACCTTGTCTCTTGATGTGCTCATTTGTGAGCACATCACGACGTCTCGCGATTGCAGCGCTGCTCAACTACAAGTTTAACACGACATTCTCGTAGCGTTTAGGGAGGCTGCGCAACAAGCAGATCGCCACGTCCTCATCCTCCATCTTGGCTCCGATGCTGCTTATCTTCGCGCCGATGCTGAGGACTTCATGGCAATGTGATGCATCACATTGCCGCCTTCTGCCATCTCCATGCTGAACAGCTGGCGCTTCAAGTAGATTTGCCCAGCCTTCTGCGACCCACCGTACAGTGTCTTCAAACGCGCCCACACGACCCACGCTTCCTCACAATCATCGACGATGTGATGGTAGTCGGCGTCCATGTGATGCGACATCAGTACGAACACGATGTTATTTGTCTTGACGTAGACGTCCATGGAGCGATCGTCCGCATAGGTCGGCGACGTCTTCCGGATCACCACGTACCACGTCGACTTAGTCAGGAACACGCCACGCACGTAGCGGCTCCATGTCGCGTGGTTGTATCCGTCGAACTTGTTGATGGAGATATTGGTAATGGTATCTTGGGCAGAGGACATCGTGCTTGGGCTCATAACCTGTTGAAAGGTGCGAAGATTGATGACCGAAACTGGGAAGGATGCTGAAAAGTCCACTCGGAAGACGAGAGAAGACACTTGGGCAGTAGATGGGAGACTGGAAAGTGATTGATTATCGGAGCTTATCTGCCTACGCCCTGATTTACATGCGTCCACACATAAGTCGGTCGGCGCGTCTAATCACCCTGCTATTCTAATCTTTTCTGCAAAATTACCGACGTAAAAACGATCCCATAAGAACTACACAGTTGTTGACGGTCATCGGTTTCCTACCAGTGTTGGTAACCGTGACCGGTCCAATCCAAACCGCCTCTTCAGCTTCGTATTTACGACGTAGTTCTTACGGTAATTACCATAGTTGATTAGACGCGTAGGATGACGATACGCTTCACATGATTTATATGTGCACCACAAATAAATCATGTAGTAAGTAGTAAGCCCCGATGATCAATCACTTTCGGATTCCCCTTCTGCCGAGCAAGTCTTCTCTGCTCCGCACCTCAAGCCTCTTCGCTCCCTCCGGTCTCTTCCGGTCTTCTCGTCACTTCCGTGCCATACCTTCAACACGTACAAATCCAGTAAAGTCCATCCACGAGATCCTCTGTCGCCATCACTTGCTGTGAGTTCTTGAGAGTCACATACATCTTGTACCCGTCAAACACGACTTGGAATTTGCCATGCCTGTTGATCTGTGGCACCGAAAGCACGTTTTTGCTCATACTTGAACATATAACGCGTTCTTGATATCGATCCTACGCTCTTCACCGTTGGGAAGAACCAACTTTTTCCAATATGGTTCCCACACCCTTGATGGCCTCCTTGCTGCCATCAGCCACCGATAGTTCGCCCTCATTGCGCCTGCTGACAAACTTAATCTTGTCGTGGCAAATGTGGTGCGTTGCACCAATCTCGGTACGCATTTGACGCTTCTTCGTAGCCCATGAACATCCGTACACGAGCCTTCGAGTCACACTTCAGTCGCTTCACCTTTAGTGTCAGGATGTACGCTTAACATCCAAACACACGCATGTGCTTGATACTTGGTTTCGACTTGTACACGATCTCGAACGGAGTCTTGTGGTCGATCTTGGGTAAAGGCAGGCGGTTCTTGATGTAGATCGCCTTCATTGCCGCTTCAGCCCAGAAACACCTCTCCAGATTTGCATGATGCAGCAAGCTGCGTCCGATCATGACGATGGTCCGTATTGCGCGTTCTGCAGTGCCGTTGGTCTGGTGTGCATACGGCACTGTGACCTGCTGCTCTATACCTTGATCTTCGTAGAAGATCTTGATCGAGTTGCTCGCGAACTCATGCGCTCCATTATGCCGAACCAACTTGATCTTCTTGCCGAACTGCGTCTGAATCTTGAGAATCTAGTTCTTGGTGCAGTCTTCACTATCAGACTTGGACCGCAGACAGAAGACCTTCATTCACCCGCTGGCATCGTCGCTCACAAGCAGCTAGTATCTGCTGCTGCTGATCGGAGGCTTGTTATATTGGCCCGCAGATGTCGAATTGTAGCAATTCAAACACACCATAGTGACACTTGTCACGGTTGGTTGGGAATGGTTTTTGGACCATCTTCCCGTGCTGGCAACCGCGACACACACTTGGCTCAGTCGATGAGAGAGGTGCATTGGATTCCTTGATCATGCCGGTGGCCATCATCTTGCGCAGAGCATCGAGGGATGCATGACCCATGCGCGTGCGCAAGTCGATGGCCCCATTGTGTGTCGCTGCATCAGTCGATCGTTGAGGAGACCGCAGCCAGTAAATTCCGTCGACGGGATCCGCTGTCATCACAACTTGCTTGGAATTCTTGCGCGTTACTTGCATCTTGGACCCATCGAACACGACTTGGAACTTGCGACCCTTGTTGATCTACAGTACCGAAAGCAGATCCTTGCTCATACTTGGCACGAACAGTTCGTCCTTGATCTCGATGTCGCGCCCGTCACCACTGGGCAGAACCTCCCGTTCCATGATGGTTCCCACACCCTTGATCGCAGCCTTTGCTGCCATCAGCCACCGATAGTTTGCCTTCTTCTCGCTCATTCAGGCTTGTAAACTTGGCCTTGCCGTTTCAGATGCGATGCGTCGCACCGCTGTCGACCGCCCACATCCTTGGCATATTCTTGCCCATTGAAAATCCAGCCTCCAGCGAAACCACAAACGCAACTCAATCGTAGTCGTCGTCGTAGTTGTTGTGGAATCGCCACTGAACGTTGTTGGCTCCGCGTCTACGAGCATTGTTGCCGGCGCGTAGAGCTCCTCCTATGTTTTCGTCCTTCTTCTTGGTCCAGCACCGCTCCGCCGTGTGCCCCAATTTGCCGCAGTACGTACACTGGCGAGGTTCACGCTCAGCACTGAACGCCTTCTCCGCGTCTCCAGTCTCCACCGATATCGTCTTGTCACCTTGTCTCTTGATGCGCTCATTTGTGAGCACATCACGACGTCTCGCGATTGCAGCGCTGCTCAACTACAAGTTTAACACGACATTCTCGTAGCGTTTAGGGAGGCTGCGCAACAAGCAGATCGCCACGTCCTCGTCCTCCATCTTGGCTCCGATGCTGCTTATCTTCGCGCCGATGCTGAGGGACTTCATGGCAATGTGATGCATCACATTGCCGCCTTCCGCCATCTCCATGCTGAACAGCTGGCGCTTCAAGTAGATTCGCCCAGCCTTCTGCGACCCACCGTACAGTGTCTTCAAACGCGCCCACACGACCCACGCTTCCTCACAATCATCGACGATGTGATGGTAGTCGGCGTCCATGTGATGCGACATCAGTACGAACACGATGTTATTTGTCTTGACGTAGACGTCCATGGAGCGATCGTCCGCATAGGTCGGCGACGTCTTCCGGATCACCACGTACCACGTCGACTTAGTCAGGAACACGCCACGCACGTAGCGGCTCCATGTCGCGTGGTTGCCTCCGTCGAACTTGTTGATGGAGATATTGGTAATGGTATCTTGGGCAGAGGACATCGTGCTTGGGCTCATAACCTGTTGAAAGGTGCGAAGATTGATGACCGAAACTGGGAAGGATGCTGAAAAGTCCACTCGGAAGACGAGAGAAGACATTTGGGCAGTAGATGGGAGACTGGAAAGTGATTGATTATCGGAGCTTATCTGCCTAAGCCCTGATTTACATGCGTCCACATATAAGTCGGTCGGCGCGTCTAATCACCCTGCTATTCTAATCTTTTCTGCAAAATTACCGACGTAAAAACGATCCCATAAGAACTACACAGTTGTTGACGGTCATCGGTTTCCTACCAGTGTTGGTAACCGTGACCGGTACAATCCAAACCGCCTCTTCAGCTTCGTATTTACGACGTAGTTCTTACGGTAATTACCATAGTTGATTAGACGCGTAGGATGACGATACGCTTCACATGATTTATATGTGCACCACAAATAAATCATGTAGTAAGTAGTAAGCCCCGATGATCAATCACTTTCGGATTCCCCTTCTGCCGAGCAAGTCTTCTCTGCACCGCTCCTCAAGACTCTTCGCTCCCTCCGGTCTCTTCCGGTCTTCTCGTCACTTCCGTGCCATACCTTCAACACGTACAAATCCAGTAAAGTCCATCCACGAGATCCTCTGTCGCCATCACTTGCTGTGAGTTCTTGAGAGTCACATACATCTTGTACCCGTCAAACACGACTTGGAATTTGCCATGCCTGTTGATCTGTGGCACCGAAAGCACGTTTTTGCTCATACTTGGAACATGTAAAGCGTTCTTGATATCGATCCTACGCTCTTCACCGTTGGTAAGAACCAACTTTTTCCAATATGGTTCCCACACCCTTGATGGCCTGCTTGCTGCCATCAGCCACCGATAGTTCGCCCTCATTGCGCCTGCTGACAAACTTAATCTTGTCGTGGCAAATGTGGTGCGTTGCACCAATCTCGGTACGTATTTGACGCTTCTTCGTAGCCCATGAACATCCGTACACGAGCCTTCGAGTCACACTTCAGTCGCTTCACCTTTAGTGTCAGGATGTACGCTTAACATCCAAACACACGCATGTGCTTGATACTTGGTTTCGACTTGTACACGATCTCGAACGGAGTCTTGTGGTCGATCTTGGGTGAAGGCAGTCGGTTCTTGATGTAGATCGCCTTCATTGCCGCTTCAGCCCAGAGACACCTCTCCAGATTTGCATGATGCAGCAAGCTGCGTCCGATCGTGACGATGGTCCGTATTGCGCGTTCTGCAGTGCCGTTGGTCTGGTGTGCATACGGCAATGTGACCTGCTGCTCTATGCCTTGATCTTCGTAGAAGGTCTTGATCGAGTTGTTCGCGAACTTATGCGCTCCATCATGCCGAACGAACTTGATCTTCTTGCCGAACTGCGTCTGAATCTTGAGAATATAGTTCTTGGTGCAGTCTTCACTATCAGACTTGGACCGCAGACAGAAGACCTTCATTCACCCGCTGGCATCGTCGACCACAAGCAGCTAGTATCTGGTGCTACTGATCGAGACTTGTTACATTGGCCCGCAGGTGTCGAATTGTAGCAATTCAAACACACCATAGTGACACTTGTCACGGTTGGTTGGGAATGGTTTTTGGACCATCTTCCCGTGCTGGCAACCACGACACACACTTGGCTCAGTCGATGAGAGAGGTGCATTGGATTCCTTGATCATGCCGGTGGCCATCATCTTGCGCAGAGCATCGAGGGATGCATGACCCATGCGCGTGCGAAAGTCGATGGCCCCATTGTGTGTCGCTGCATCAGTCGATCGTTGAGGAGACCGCAGCCAGTAAATTCCGTCGACGGGATCCGCTGTCATCACAACTTGCTTGGAATTCTTGCGCGTTACTTGCATCTTGGACCCATCGAACACGACTTGGAACTTGCGACCCTTGTTGATCTACAGTACCGAAAGCAGATCCTTGCTCATACTTGGCACGAACAGTTCGTCCTTGATCTCGATGTCGCGCCCGTCACCACTGGGCAGAACCTCCCGTTCCATGATGGTTCCCACACCCTTGATCGCAGCCTTTGCTGCCATCAGCCACCGATAGTTTGCCTTCTTCTCGCTCATTCAGGCTTGTAAACTTGGCCTTGCCGTTTCAGATGCGATGCGTCGCACCGCTGTCGACCGCCCACATCCTTGGCATATTCTTGCCCATTGAAAATCCAGCCTCCAGCGAAACCACAAACGCAACTCAATCGTAGTCGTCGTCGTAGTTGTTGTGGAATCGCCACTGAACGTTGTTGGCTCCGCGTCCACGAGCATTGTTGCCGGCGCGTAGAGCTCCTCCTATGTTTTCGTCCTTCTTCTTGGTCCAGCACCGCTCCGCCGTGTGCCCCAATTTGCCGCAGTACGTACACTGGCGAGGTTCACGCTCAGCACTGAACGCCTTCTCCGCGTCTCCAGTCTCCACCGATATCGTCTTGTCACCTTGTCTCTTGATGTGCTCATTTGTGAGCACATCACGACGTCTCGCGATTGCAGCGCTGCTCAACTACAAGTTTAACACGACATTCTCGTAGCGTTTAGGAGGCTGCGCAACAAGCAGATCGCCACGTCCTCATCCTCCATCTTGGCTCCGATGCTGCTTATCTTCGCGCCGATGCTGAGGACTTCATGGCAATGTGATGCATCACATTGCCGCCTTCTGCCATCTCCATGCTGAACAGCTGGCGCTTCAAGTAGATTTGCCCAGCCTTCTGCGACCCACCGTACAGTGTCTTCAAACGCGCCCACACGACCCACGCTTCCTCACAATCATCGACGATGTGATGGTAGTCGGCGTCCATGTGATGCGACATCAGTACGAACACGATGTTATTTGTCTTGACGTAGACGTCCATGGAGCGATCGTCCGCATAGGTCGGCGACGTCTTCCGGATCACCACGTACCACGTCGACTTAGTCAGGAACACGCCACGCACGTAGCGGCTCCATGTCGCGTGGTTGTATCCGTCGAACTTGTTGATGGAGATATTGGTAATGGTATCTTGGGCAGAGGACATCGTGCTTGGGCTCATAACCTGTTGAAAGGTGCGAAGATTGATGACCGAAACTGGGAAGGATGCTGAAAAGTCCACTCGGAAGACGAGAGAAGACACTTGGGCAGTAGATGGGAGACTGGAAAGTGATTGATTATCGGAGCTTATCTGCCTACGCCCTGATTTACATGCGTCCACACATAAGTCGGTCGGCGCGTCTAATCACCCTGCTATTCTAATCTTTTCTGCAAAATTACCGACGTAAAAACGATCCCATAAGAACTACACAGTTGTTGACGGTCATCGGTTTCCTACCAGTGTTGGTAACCGTGACCGGTCCAATCCGAACCGCCTCTTCAGCTTCGTATTTACGACGTAGTTCTTACGGTAATTACCATAGTTGATTAGACGCGTAGGATGACGATACGCTTCACATGATTTATATGTGCACCACAAATAAATCATGTAGTAAGTAGTAAGCCCCGATGATCAATCACTTTCGGATTCCCCTTCTGCCGAGCAAGTCTTCTCTGCACCGCTCCTCAAGCCTCTTCGCTCCCTCCGGTCTCTTCCGGTCTTCTCGTCACTTCCGTGCCATACCTTCAACACGTACAAATCCTGTAAAGTCCATCCACGAGATCCTCTGTCGCCATCACTTGCTGTGAGTTCTTGAGAGTCACATACATCTTGTACCCGTCAAACACGACTTGGAATTTGCCATGCCTGTTGATCTGTGGCACCGAAAGCACGTTTTTGCTCATACTTGGAACATATAAAGCGTTCTTGATATCGATCCTACGCTCTTCACCGTTGGTAAGAACCAACTTTTTCCAATATGGTTCCCACACCCTTGATGGCCTGCTTGCTGCCATCAGCCACCGATAGTTCGCCCTCATTGCGCCTGCTGACAAACTTAATCTTGTCGTGGCAAATGTGGTGCGTTGCACCAATCTCGGTACGCATTTGACGCTTCTTCGTAGCCCATGAACATCCGTACACGAGCCTTCGAGTCACACTTCAGTCGCTTCACCTTTAGTGTCAGGATGTACGCTTAACATCCAAACACACGCATGTGCTTGATACTTGGTTTCGACTTGTACACGATCTCGAACGGAGTCTTGTGGTCGATCTTGGGTGAAGGCAGTCGGTTCTTGATGTAGATCGCCTTCATTGCCGCTTCAGCCCAGAGACACCTCTCCAGATTTGCATGATGCAGCAAGCTGCGTCCGATCGTGACGATGGTCCGTATTGCGCGTTCTGCAGTGCCGTTGGTCTGGTGTGCATACGGCACTGTGACCTGCTGCTCTATACCTTGATCTTCGTAGAAGGTCTTGATCGAGTTGTTCGCAAACTCATGCGCTCCATTATGCCGAACGAACTTGATCTTCTTGCCGAACTGCGTCTGAATCTTGAGAATCTAGTTCTTGGTGCAGTCTTCACTATCAGACTTGGACCGCAGACAGAAGACCTTCATTCACCCGCTGGCATCGTCGACCACAAGCAGCTAGTATCTGGTGCTGCTGATCAATACTTGTTACATTGGCCCGCAGATGTCGAATTGTAGCAATTCAAACACACCATAGTGACACTTGTCACGGTTGGTTGGGAATGGTTTTTGGACCATCTTCCCGTGCTGGCAACCACGACACACACTTGGCTCAGTCGATGAGAGAGGTGCATTGGATTCCTTGATCATGCCGGTGGCCATCATCTTGCGCAGAGCATCGAGGGATGCATGACCCATGCGCGTGCGAAAGTCGATGGCCCCATTGTGTGTCGCTGCATCAGTCGATCGTTGAGGAGACCGCAGCCAGTAAATTCCGTCGACGGGATCCGCTGTCATCACAACTTGCTTGGAATTCTTGCGCGTTACTTGCATCTTGGACCCATCGAACACGACTTGGAACTTGCGACCCTTGTTGATCTACAGTACCGAAAGCAGATCCTTGCTCATACTTGGCACGAACAGTTCGTCCTTGATCTCGATGTCGCGCCCGTCACCACTGGGCAGAACCTCCCGTTCCATGATGGTTCCCACACCCTTGATCGCAGCCTTTGCTGCCATCAGCCACCGATAGTTTGCCTTCTTCTCGCTCATTCAGGCTTGTAAACTTGGCCTTGTCGTTTCAGATGCGATGCGTCGCACCGCTGTCGACCGCCCACATCCTTGGCATATTCTTGCCCATTGAAAATCCAGCTTTCAGCGAAACCACAAACGCAACTCAATCGTAGTCGTCGTCGTAGTTGTTGTGGAATCGCCACTGAACGTTGTTGGCTCCGCGTCTACGAGCATTGTTGCCGGCGCGTAGAGCTCCTCCTATGTTTTCGTCCTTCTTCTTGGTCCAGCACCGCTCCGCCGTGTGCCCCAATTTGCCGCAGTACGTACACTGGCGAGGTTCACGCTCAGCACTGAACGCCTTCTCCGCGTCTCCAGTCTCCACCGATATCGTCTTGTCACCTTGTCTCTTGATGTGCTCATTTGTGAGCACATCACGACGTCTCGCGATTGCAGCGCTGCTCAACTACAAGTTTAACACGACATTCTCGTAGCGTTTAGGGAGGCTGCGCAACAAGCAGATCGCCACGTCCTCGTCCTCCATCTTGGCACCGATGCTGCTTATCTTCGCGCCGATGCTGAGGACTTCATGGCAATGTGATGCATCACATTGCCGCCTTCCGCCATCTCCATGCTGAACAGCTGGCGCTTCAAGTAGATTTGCCCAGCCTTCTGCGACCCACCGTACAGTGTCTTCAAACGCGCCCACACGACCCACGCTTCCTCACAATCATCGACGATGTGATGGTAGTCGGCGTCCATGTGATGCAACATCAGTACGAACACGATGTTATGTGTCTTGACGTAGACGTCCATGGAGCGATCGTCCGCATAGGTCGGCGACGTCTTCCGGATCACCACGTACCACGTCGACTTAGTCAGGAACACGCCACGCACGTAGCGGATCCATGTCGCGTGGTTGTCTCCGTCGAACTTGTTGATGGAGATATTGGTAATGGTATCTTGGGCAGAGGACATCGTGCTTGGGCTCATAACCTGTTGAAAGGTGCGAAGATTGATGACCGAAACTGGGAAGGATGCTGAAAAGTCCACTCGGAAGACGAGAGAAGACATTTGGGCAGTAGATGGGAGACTGGAAAGTGATTGATTATCGGAGCTTATCTGCCTAAGCCCTGATTTACATGCGTCCACATATAAGTCGGTCGGCGCGTCTAATCACCCTGCTATTCTAATCTTTTCTGCAAAATTACCGACGTAAAAACGATCCCATAAGAACTACACAGTTGTTGACGGTCATCGGTTTCCTACCAGTGTTGGTAACCGTGACCGGTACAATCCAAACCGCCTCTTCAGCTTCGTATTTACGACGTAGTTCTTACGGTAATTACCATAGTTGATTAGACGCGTAGGATGACGATACGCTTCACATGATTTATATGTGCACCACAAATAAATCATGTAGTAAGTAGTAAGCCCCGATGATCAATCACTTTCGGATTCCCCTTCTGCCGAGCAAGTCTTCTCTGCACCGCTCCTCAAGACTCTTCGCTCCCTCCGGTCTCTTCCGGTCTTCTCGTCACTTCCGTGCCATACCTTCAACACGTACAAATCCAGTAAAGTCCATCCACGAGATCCTCTGTCGCCATCACTTGCTGTGAGTTCTTGAGAGTCACATACATCTTGTACCCGTCAAACACGACTTGGAATTTGCCATGCCTGTTGATCTGTGGCACCGAAAGCACGTTTTTGCTCATACTTGGAACATGTAAAGCGTTCTTGATATCGATCCTACGCTCTTCACCGTTGGTAAGAACCAACTTTTTCCAATATGGTTCCCACACCCTTGATGGCCTGCTTGCTGCCATCAGCCACCGATAGTTCGCCCTCATTGCGCCTGCTGACAAACTTAATCTTGTCGTGGCAAATGTGGTGCGTTGCACCAATCTCGGTACGTATTTGACGCTTCTTCGTAGCCCATGAACATCCGTACACGAGCCTTCGAGTCACACTTCAGTCGCTTCACCTTTAGTGTCAGGATGTACGCTTAACATCCAAACACACGCATGTGCTTGATACTTGGTTTCGACTTGTACACGATCTCGAACGGAGTCTTGTGGTCGATCTTGGGTGAAGGCAGTCGGTTCTTGATGTAGATCGCCTTCATTGCCGCTTCAGCCCAGAGACACCTCTCCAGATTTGCATGATGCAGCAAGCTGCGTCCGATCGTGACGATGGTCCGTATTGCGCGTTCTGCAGTGCCGTTGGTCTGGTGTGCATACGGCAATGTGACCTGCTGCTCTATGCCTTGATCTTCGTAGAAGGTCTTGATCGAGTTGTTCGCGAACTTATGCGCTCCATCATGCCGAACGAACTTGATCTTCTTGCCGAACTGCGTCTGAATCTTGAGAATATAGTTCTTGGTGCAGTCTTCACTATCAGACTTGGACCGCAGACAGAAGACCTTCATTCACCCGCTGGCATCGTCGACCACAAGCAGCTAGTATCTGGTGCTGCTGATCAATACTTGTTACATTGGCCCGCAGATGTCGAATTGTAGCAATTCAAACACACCATAGTGACACTTGTCACGGTTGGTTGGGAATGGTTTTTGGACCATCTTCCCGTGCTGGCAACCACGACACACACTTGGCTCAGTCGATGAGAGAGGTGCATTGGATTCCTTGATCATGCCGGTGGCCATCATCTTGCGCAGAGCATCGAGGGATGCATGACCCATGCGCGTGCGAAAGTCGATGGCCCCATTGTGTGTCGCTGCATCAGTCGATCGTTGAGGAGACCGCAGCCAGTAAATTCCGTCGACGGGATCCGCTGTCATCACAACTTGCTTGGAATTCTTGCGCGTTACTTGCATCTTGGACCCATCGAACACGACTTGGAACTTGCGACCCTTGTTGATCTACAGTACCGAAAGCAGATCCTTGCTCATACTTGGCACGAACAGTTCGTCCTTGATCTCGATGTCGCGCCCGTCACCACTGGGCAGAACCTCCCGTTCCATGATGGTTCCCACACCCTTGATCGCAGCCTTTGCTGCCATCAGCCACCGATAGTTTGCCTTCTTCTCGCTCATTCAGGCTTGTAAACTTGGCCTTGCCGTTTCAGATGCGATGCGTCGCACCGCTGTCGACCGCCCACATCCTTGGCATATTCTTGCCCATTGAAAATCCAGCCTCCAGCGAAACCACAAACGCAACTCAATCGTAGTCGTCGTCGTAGTTGTTGTGGAATCGCCACTGAACGTTGTTGGCTCCGCGTCCACGAGCATTGTTGCCGGCGCGTAGAGCTCCTCCTATGTTTTCGTCCTTCTTCTTGGTCCAGCACCGCTCCGCCGTGTGCCCCAATTTGCCGCAGTACGTACACTGGCGAGGTTCACGCTCAGCACTGAACGCCTTCTCCGCGTCTCCAGTCTCCACCGATATCGTCTTGTCACCTTGTCTCTTGATGTGCTCATTTGTGAGCACATCACGACGTCTCGCGATTGCAGCGCTGCTCAACTACAAGTTTAACACGACATTCTCGTAGCGTTTAGGGAGGCTGCGCAACAAGCAGATCGCCACGTCCTCATCCTCCATCTTGGCTCCGATGCTGCTTATCTTCGCGCCGATGCTGAGGACTTCATGGCAATGTGATGCATCACATTGCCGCCTTCTGCCATCTCCATGCTGAACAGCTGGCGCTTCAAGTAGATTTGCCCAGCCTTCTGCGACCCACCGTACAGTGTCTTCAAACGCGCCCACACGACCCACGCTTCCTCACAATCATCGACGATGTGATGGTAGTCGGCGTCCATGTGATGCGACATCAGTACGAACACGATGTTATTTGTCTTGACGTAGACGTCCATGGAGCGATCGTCCGCATAGGTCGGCGACGTCTTCCGGATCACCACGTACCACGTCGACTTAGTCAGGAACACGCCACGCACGTAGCGGCTCCATGTCGCGTGGTTGTATCCGTCGAACTTGTTGATGGAGATATTGGTAATGGTATCTTGGGCAGAGGACATCGTGCTTGGGCTCATAACCTGTTGAAAGGTGCGAAGATTGATGACCGAAACTGGGAAGGATGCTGAAAAGTCCACTCGGAAGACGAGAGAAGACACTTGGGCAGTAGATGGGAGACTGGAAAGTGATTGATTATCGGAGCTTATCTGCCTACGCCCTGATTTACATGCGTCCACACATAAGTCGGTCGGCGCGTCTAATCACCCTGCTATTCTAATCTTTTCTGCAAAATTACCGACGTAAAAACGATCCCATAAGAACTACACAGTTGTTGACGGTCATCGGTTTCCTACCAGTGTTGGTAACCGTGACCGGTCCAATCCGAACCGCCTCTTCAGCTTCGTATTTACGACGTAGTTCTTACGGTAATTACCATAGTTGATTAGACGCGTAGGATGACGATACGCTTCACATGATTTATATGTGCACCACAAATAAATCATGTAGTAAGTAGTAAGCCCCGATGATCAATCACTTTCGGATTCCCCTTCTGCCGAGCAAGTCTTCTCTGCTCCGCACCTCAAGCCTCTTCGCTCCCTCCGGTCTCTTCCGGTCTTCTCGTCACTTCCGTGCCATACCTTCAACACGTACAAATCCAGTAAAGTCCATCCACGAGATCCTCTGTCGCCATCACTTGCTGTGAGTTCTTGAGAGTCACATACATCTTGTACCCGTCAAACACGACTTGGAATTTGCCATGCCTGTTGATCTGTGGCACCGAAAGCACGTTTTTGCTCATACTTGAACATATAACGCGTTCTTGATATCGATCCTACGCTCTTCACCGTTGGGAAGAACCAACTTTTTCCAATATGGTTCCCACACCCTTGATGGCCT